CAAGTGTTTGTTATCTGCTCCTTTGGCAATTGTTTTTGAAAAAAGGCGAACGGTTCTAAACTCGATCTTTGCACTTGCTACGCTTGATGTTGAATGATTCGTCCTCTAGAGAGGTGTAATTATACACGATTAACCTCTGAATACTTACGTAAATCGTTGTCCATTAGCAACATTTAATTCCGACCTCCGCACTTAACCAATGACCTTGTCAATTACCCCCATTCTCTTTGCACTGGATGAAAATTTGGGCTTCGAGGCCGAATTCAATTTACTAAACATGTAATCCAATTCGGAAAGCCCGAACATGCCCGGCAAATTGCATATCCTCGCACACCAAAAAACGTCTTTCCGATAAACCCAAAACGTTCGCCATAACCGGATTAGAGTTGGCCCCCCGAGGCACAGTGATATCGCCCTAAAAGTGCTTGCGCGGTAATTGGATTTGGCTGCATCTATCTTACGGGTCTTTGATGTGTTGCAATTTCGAAACTGGCTTGTTTGCGGAGGAGATGTTATAAGTCTAAAGGGCACGCGTGTTTCTCTTTTTTTTCACGAGGCTCAAGAAAAGATGGGATTTTGTTTAGGACTTGAGAGGATTTCGGGATTAAAGGTGGTGTTGTAGGCTAGAACTTTTTTGAAACTTTTGGGGGTTTTTGGGAAATCTTCGCAGTGCAAAAAATAGGCCTATTACACCCATAAAGTTTCACTGCGCGAAACTGTAGGCTTTTTTACCCTACAAAATTGCACTGTGCAAAGCTGTAGGCTTTTTTACCCTACAAAATTGCACTGTGCAAAACTCTAGGCTTTTTTACCCTAGAAAATTGCACTGTGCGGAACTTTAGGCTTTTTTACCCTGTAAAATTGCACTGTGCAAAACTCAAATCGCACTGTGCCGAATTGCCAATTATTTTAACAAAAATGTAAAATACGCCGTGTTACAAAACTCCAAAGGAAACTTCTTGCCACCATTACTTTTGCAAATTTTTAAGCGAAAATTTATTTGAGCGTTATTTCCGGCGCTTTTCGGAATCTGAAATTGTGGGAAAGCGGGAAAATTTGGAGTTACCTTTTTTGAGTGTCAGATGTGTTAAATTTAGAAGGCCCGCCTTTAAAGCACTTTAAACGACCTCTCAAATGGGCTGTTAAACTACGTAAAACGCCCTTTTTCCGCGCCTTAATACGAATGTTTTTGGCTAAATTCGATTTCGACTACAATTTGAACTAGTAAACAGTAAAACTCGCCACTTTTTGGGGCTAATTAGCAGCTAAAATGGTCGAAATTTGCGTGAATCTTGATTCATTTTTATATTTATTGTTATTGCCAATTTTACTGCGCCATAACAACAACCCACGAAAATTAAAAGGATTGTACTGTGTGGGAAGGCCGTTTGGAGGGGCTTATCTATTTGTTTTTCCCAATTAGTATAGAGGGGAATGAGTATAATAAGAAAAAGTGCGTGTATTTCTCCGTCATTTTCGCGGAAAACGCCTCAATATGGGATATTTTAGGCATGATGACGGCTTTTGGAATGGTTTTTGGTTCAAAAAATGTTAGAGTGTATAACGAATAATAAACAGGAAAAACTTTTTTCACAGTGCAAAGTTGTAGGCTTATTTCAACTAGAAAAATGCACTGTGCAAAAATTTAGGCTTATTCCAACAACTGTTTTGCGCAGTGCAAAAATTTAGGCTTATTTCAACTAGAAAATTGCACTGTGCAAAAATTTAGGCTTATTTCAACTAAAAAACTGCACAGTGCAAACTTGTAGGCTTTTTTCAACTAAAAAACTGCACAGTGCCAAAATTTAGGCGTATTTCAACTAAAAAACCGCACTGCTAAAAAATTTAGGCTTATTTCAACTAGAAAAACGCACAGTGCGAAAATTTAGGCTTATTTCAACTAAAAAACTGCACTGTGCAAAATTTTTGAAACTGATTCCTCCCGAATTATGAGTAATAGAATATTCCTGATAGATAATTTTGAAACTGTTTACATGCAGTTTTCTCTCGAAATCTCTCCGCGTTATCTGTTAGCGAAATACAAAAACCGGATGAGTCACTGTGGGAACCAGCTGACGAAAAACGGTCGGATGTTTATTTTCGCCGACTTTTTGCGACAGCCGAATTTGTTTTTTGTATAGTGGACTTTTGACACCCTACTGCGATCTTTGGAATGTGTTTGTTGCGATAAATACGGACTCTTTGAAGCAGAACGGGATGTGAAAATTTTCTCTGACCTTCTCTCCTCGTTTTTTATAATCCCTCGTCTTCAAAACGTAATTAAAGCCAGAACGGGTTATTTACGGCCCATTTACAGTAGGAATTGGCGTCTCATAACCTTCCCATTATCATTTTTTCTTTGATTTCTTCTCTTGTCTTGAGCGCTCATGTCATTTCTGAAATGTCTCTTGATTGACATTGTTTTCCTCGAGCCTCGTTTTTTCGCCTTTTCACCTGGAAAGAACACAATGCTCGTCGTTCGGGGGATGATGGGCTGTGAATTGGGTTGTTCGGAGAAAAAAATGAGATCTGAAAAGGTTGAAGGTGGCTGCTCGAAATATACCGCAGAAAGTTGTTTCTCTCACTGACTCTCGTCATTTTCCATAGTCTTTTGACCAAAATGAAAGTTGAATAGTTCAACAAAAAATCTGTCAGTTCTATTTAGAGCTGGGGACGTATAAATGTTTGTGTGACTAGAAAATGTGCCACGATTACACCGGTTTAAAGTGTGGCAATGGTATAAACAACGGCTGTACAGAGGCGGACCTGATCCAGTGGCAAAAAACGTGCCATTTTGCATCCGGGAAGTATCAAAAATGTGGCAAAATGATTCCCTCTCCAGGTGAAAAAGCTTCGTTTTGAAGGGCGCGCCCTTTCCCTCACGAAATGAGCGGGCGTCCTTTTGAAATCTGAGTTTTTTTTCACTTGGAGAGGGAAGCATTTTCCCACATTTTTGATACTTCCTGGATGCAAAATGGTACGTTTTTTGCCGCTGAATCAGGCCCCTCGCTGTATATGGACGTGGGTGCTATAGCAAGTACTCCTAGCCGTATACAGCCGTTGTTTATACCATTGACACATTTTAAACGGGTGTGGGATATTTTCTGGACACACAAAGATTTGTAAGTCCCGAGCCCTAAATGGAACTGACAGATTTTTTGTTTAACTATTCAACGGTCATTTTGGTCAAGAGACTATGGGAAATGACGAGAGTCGGTCAGAGAAAAAACTTTCTATGATGTGTTTGCGGATTTTGATTGAAAAGAAAATTTTGTGGAATTTTGTGCTCCTAATTTCGAACAGAACTCCAATTTTATTTCGAAAACCATCAAAATTGAAGGCTACAATTTTTTTATATTATCCATGACAAGATGAAAATTTAGCTTTTGTATGTTTCATCCTGAGATTTTTTCTCAATTCTCAGCACGCGAGAATTGAGAAAATCCCTGATCTTTCGTCCATTCTCCAATGTTTACCTTGTAATTAACCACAATCTTCAAAGAAACGTTCATCCCTTTAAATTGATTCACGAAAGAAAGTTTATTTTTAGGATTTGTAGACACATTCTGGGATAAAATGCAGGTGTTGAGTATTTGAAATCCCTTTTTTAGGTGGTAATGCAACGTTTTTTCCATGTTTTCGGTTCAGATTGCCCTGTAAATGACGGAAATGCTCGCGAAACGATTAATTTTCTAATTTGTGATTGTAATTGATCCGTATAAATTGTTGTTTCGACTGAATTCGCCTTCACATTGAACTTCAAACTATCTGTTTGAAGTTTGTTTTTGTTGTTCGAAGCGAGTTTTGTCATGGTTAAGGTGGAATTTTGGCGAATTCTTGGAATTTTGTAGAAATTGAAGGGGTCGATGCGACTTGCACTTTGAAAAGGGGGTCTCGAAGAAGACTAGAGGAGGCTGGACGTAAGAAAATTGATAATTAGAGGGAAGAAAATTGTAAATCTATCAAAATGATATTGTACTTGGTGTAAACTATAAAAAAGTTGTTTTTTGAGGAAAAATTCGGGCAAAGAATACTAGAATCAATGTTATTGAGCGAGTTGGGACATTTTACAGCCCAAGAGCTATTGAATTGCGATATTCTCTAATGACTGTAATCAATTTTTTGATTTGTTCGGAAAACTTTGACCTCTTTCTGATAAATAATGTCATAAAATTTCTATTTTTGGTTGTTGAGAAGTAAAAGTTGCCTTAAAAACGTGCTATTAGCATAACAATGTCATCAGTATCCATTTGCATTCAAAAGTTTGCGATCATTCTGTAATTTTTACATTATCCATGGCCTTTAGTCATCATCAAAACAAAATTGTCATTTTAGCCCCTAAAACTTGTTTGTTTTTGTAAATATCGGTCCTTCAGATCTTTTGGCATATTTACTGCCCTTCACAAGCCATATTTCTATTCGAATCCGCCCAAAAATTGACATCTTAACCTTCACCGACCACCTTGTTATCACGTCCACTTTTATAACACATCTCAATTTGTTTTGGACTCCTTATCATTTCGACGGCCCTCTCTAACACCCGTAATCGTGAATTCCGTGTTTTTCGGAGCCGTTTGAAATACCATGAGTATCGAATTTCAGCCCCTAAACTTTGGCTATTTTCAGCTGCCACGATATCAGAATTAATATATCAGCGGGCGATTGCAGCCGTTTTCGTTGTCAAATTCTTGCCGAAAAGTGGAAACGAAGCTAGTGGAAGAAAAAGTGGCCATAAGAGAAGTCGGTGACGGATTTTCTGGAAATTTTTGGAGTCCTTCCAAAAAATCGACTTTTAGAAAGAAAATTGATGCTAAAAGAGCTTCAAACTCTTGAATACTGGTATTCAAAGTGATCAACGAGGTGCATAATCTTTTTTGGGCTGGTCCGTACAAGCTTTGAGACGAAGAGAACGCCATTTGACGTCAATTTTTGCGCCTAAACCATCGAAATTTATGACCGGGAGAAGAAGTTGGTGAATTGTTTCGAATTCGAATCTTCTGATGGCAAAACGCCGCTCCAGCTCTCCCAATGGGCCCAATGCGGAGACCCGTTCGGTTCCCGGCGACCTCTCCAAGCTCCCGCCAGCATGGTGCCATCGAGTCGAGATAGCAACAAGACCTGGAACTTCTGCTCAAACGCCACAATTAGAACGAGGGTAAGTGCTTTCGCTTTTGTCTTGTTGGTCTTTAGGTTGAGGAGAAGGTGATAGAGGTGTTCGAGCCAAAAATCTTCCTTTTAAGGAAGGGATTCGTTATAAGTTTGATTTTTGCCTAAATCAACATCAGAAAATTGTTGTGAGGGGATATTTGTAGTTGAAATTGGGTTCATAGCTTCTGTCCGTCTTTGTTGACCATAAATTTGATGGTTTCCTCCAGGGTATCTCGCATTTTATATCAAAAATTTAATTTTTGACCTAGTGCAAGGTCCAATTTGTCGAAAGCTCAAACAATTGGCTTTTTAAAAAAAGCAGGTGGCTTTTCGAACTCGAAATCCGATCCAAGTCACGGATTCGAACCTTGACTTTACGTATCTATTTCATACCGGAAGACAGCTGATATTAAATAGCATAGTTTGTGCTGTTTGATCTTCTCAGAAAGCAATTTGCAAGGCCCTTTGGACTGAATTGTCAAGAGTTCGAACGATTATAAGTTTGCAAATGCTCTGAAAAGCAAATAAAGTTTGTTTGAAACCGGAAGTTACGTCAGGGAAAGAAAATGCAGCAGATGGGGCAAGTACAATATAAAAATTTTTGGGTTTTTTGGATAAATGGAATTTTAAATAGCGCATTGAGTCTAAGAAATTGTAATGGATATAATTAAACTTCTTTATGCTGTCTAATTTTCGAGATACTGGGATTTTTAGATAAAAATTTAACTAAAAATCTAAAATAATATCGAAGCCTCCCTGGAAGTTTCATGTTTATAGGCGTAACAACTCATGACCACCTTAGAAATTCTAGGACTCTAAATTTTCCCACGAAAATTGCTTGAAATCCGGAAATTCTTGAGAAAACCTCCTTTTTTGAGCTCTCAACGTCTTCAAAAATAAAAACGAAGAGTCAAGGAACGCGTTCATTCGAACATGACTGATATACATAGTGCGAAAAAAGTGGGGCAAAAAATTCTCGCGCCGTGAAAAACGTCCTCGGGACACGGCCGGAAATGTAAGGACTTTTTTGAAACTTTTGCTCGTAAATTTTAATGGTTAGAGATGAATTGGAAAAAATATGGTATTATAAGGGATTTTTGGTCGAGTTTTAAGTGTTTAAATTTGTTAGGCGAATTTTGATTTATATTATATTAGTCTAGGTCAACAAATTAAATTTTTTTGTGTAAAAAATCGTCTGAAACCAAAAACCCGGCTTCGCAATGCATTTTAAATTTAACGTAGAGCATTTCTCAATTAATGAAACTTGTCATGATGGCCAATTTTCAAGACTTTTTTGTCCAAAAATACGATCCACCGTGAGGGACCTGATCCAGTGGCAAAAAACGTATCATTTCGCATCCAGGAAGTATAAAAAATGTAGCAAAATACCTCCCTCTCCAAGTGAAAAAATTCTGTTTTGAGGGCTCTTCAAAATTTATCACTTGGATATGGAGGTATTTTGCTACATTTTTTATACTTCCCCGATCCAAAATGGTACGTTTTTTGCCACCGGATCAGGTCCGCCACTGTAGGAATGAAAGACGTATTTTTGGACAAAAAAGTCTTGAAAATTGGCCATCATGACAAGTTTATTTACTTGAGAAATGCTCTGTGTTAAATTTAAAATGCATTGCGAGGCCGGGTTTTTGGTTTCGGATGATTTTTACGTAAAAAATTTAATTTGTTGACCTAAAGTAATAAAAATTAAAATTTGGCTAAAAAATCCCAATTAATAATTTTTCAGCGAGCCCCTGGCCCGGCCAGAGACCTTAGAGCCGCTGTGCCTCGATTCCCGAACCCAACATTCCTCCAAGAACCCGTCAATGGCCTCAATTCACAACGTTCCCGAGTCTCCGGCCTCGCCGGAAGAGCCGGACCGCCCCCGCCGCCAACGCGGCCATTTGCGCGGCACCCGCTCCAATGGCTTCGCCTCCGGCCCGCCATTCGCACGCCCGCCGAAACGCGAAGCGCCATGGTCGACGATGGACGAGCGCCAGAAGCAACAACAGATCCAGCTGATCGAGAAGGAAATTGACGTAATGGCCGAGAAATCGTTGATGGGCATCCGAAGCTGGCGACCGAAATGGCTGCAGAAATTCGCAACAAAGAACTGGATGCTCCTGTGGATGTGCTGGTTCTGTACGATACAGGGAATCATCGTGAATGGCCTAGTTCCGTCAACAATATCGACCATTGAGCGGAGATTTGAATTGAGTACAAGTACGATAGGAAGAATCGCACAGGTAAGAAGAAATTGGAGGTTTTTGGATATTAGAGGGTGTAAGCAATGCCTGCTGAGTGGATTTGAATTGATTGAGAGCTTGGGAGGTATCAATTTACCTTGTTTTAGGTCAGCTGGGTCATGGATAATATAATTTGATTTTTTGAAGGATCTTTGATGAAGTTTTGGGTTTAAATTGATGGAAAGAGACTTAATAAAGTCTATAGCGTATTTTAGGATTATTTTTAACACCCTTGAACGTTGATTTCACCTTCGAAGTACAAGTTTGCCACCAAGGTCCCCCTTAAAACTCGATTTTTTAGTTCTACGATTTTGGTTATGTCCTCTTCTGCATACCGGTCAGTTACTTTGGTGGTAGACACTCCAAACCCCTCGCCTTGGCTGTAGGACTGATATTAATGGCAATTGGAGCCTTCATTTTCTCGACCCCCCACCTCCTCGCCGACTCCTATACCAACTCGTATTCGGAAGACGACGCCGGCTTCAGCAGATGTCCCAACCCAACTCTGACCTCAATACTAACAAACACGTCGAATGCGGAAGCCCTGAAGTCGTGCCCATCGCCGGAGAATCAACCCGGCACCTTCAGATACGTCTTCTTCTTTTGTTTGGCCCACTTCTTGCATGGGATTGGCGCAACCCCATTATTCACCATCGCTGTGTCGTATATCGACGAAAATGTGGGCCCAAACTTGAGCTCGCTGTATCTGGGAGTGTTCTACGCCTTCGGCGTTTTTGGTCCGGCCCTGGGATTTGTGGGACAATCGCATTTCCTGAAATACCACACGGATTTCCTTCAAACCGGGAAAAAGTTTGATAAGTAAGTTTTTGATAAGGCTAGAGGGTGGATTTTGGTTTTAAAAGAAAGAGTATGGCTTATTTTATCTAGTTGCGTCTAGACTTTTTATAATTTTTATCGAAAATTTTGAGCAATGATCAATTTTATATTGTACTTGAGAGCTAATATAAACTTTTTGTTTAGGCTGGTCAATCTCAACGAATCCGATCCGAAATGGGTGGGCGCTTGGTGGGTGGGCTTCCAGATTGTCTCCTTGCTCGCGTTAATAGCCGTAGTCCCGATTCTCAGCTTGCCCAAGGTCCTTCCGGAGAGCTTGAAATGGCACAGGTAATTTTTAAATTTTTTTGATTTTTTCTCCCGAATTTAGATGATTTTCCACCCTAAATTGGTGTTTTTAGGAATCGCCTCCGCAAAGAGACCCTCGGAGGATCGAAGAAGCGCACCCCGGAGTGCTGCGGAATGCCGTCCGCATCCAAAACTTCGGCCATAACGGGAAAAAACTTGATGACGGTGGACGAAACGGCCGCCAGCCAAGCCGTAGCAGAGTCAATGCCCGCGCTCACGACCCGATCAGGACCTCTGTGGTATCAACTATGGCTGGACGTACGACATATCCCAATCGCGATCTATCGCATCCTCCTAAACGGGCCTTACATGTTGATCACGCTCGGCATGGCGGTGGATGGTAAGTTTTGGCGATTTTTGGGATTTTTTCGAGGCGTTTAGACCGGAAATGATGACGAAATATTTCAGGACTGATCATTACGGGTGTCTCGACCTTCATGTCCAAGTATTTGGAGCGCCAGTTCGGTGTGGCGCCCTCCAAAGCCAACATGCTGATCGGATGTATCATGGTCCCAATGGCCGGCATTGGCACCATGTTCTCCGGATTCATCATCCACAAGTTCCGAATGAGCTGTGTGCGCACCCTCCAGTTCTGTGTGGCTCTACTGATTTGCGCGTTGTTGCTCAGCCCGATGTATTTTATTTACTGCGATCATGATCATTTGGTCGGAATTGAACGACATTACCCGGTGGATGAGTAAGTAAAAGACTTTTTTTGGAGCTGTAAAGTTTATGGAGGAGATTAGAGAGCTATAAGAAGATTTTGAAGTTGTTTTTGGAACATTGTTTGGCTAAAATTATATTGGTGTAGGTAAAATTTTGATTTTTTTGAAATTATTTTAAGTTTTGTTGGTTTGTAATGGCTCTATGGGGTTTATTAGGGACAGTTATCGGGTTTTTATAGTATACGCGATAGCTCAGGGAAATTTTTTGACATCAAAAAAAATTTTTTTCCTTGTCTGACAAGGAAAGTACTTCTATGGGGTGTGGAATTACCGGTCGAGATATATATCAAAAAATTCGCAAAAATTTTCTGATTCAGAATATATATAAATTAGCTGCCTAATTTTGGTCTATCAGCGAGTTTTTTTAATAAATTTTTTTCTCGAGGAAAAAAATCGGCGGCGACAAAAGCGCGCTCGGTCTCTTCCTTCGGAAGAGAGCGGTGTGGCCGAGTGGTTAGAGCGCTAGATTGGAAATCCGAGGGTGACGGGTTCGATTCTTTTTGCCACACTAGAACCCATTTTTACATCGGAACTACTTTTAAGGTGTAGTTGTATTCCAATTTGATATTTTAAGGCTTGTCAAGGCCTCAGAATTTAGTTTAGCACAAAACAAAATTTTGTTATTGGTAAAAACACGGTCAAGAAGACGCTTGCATGGTGTCGCGAGAAAACTTCTGAGGACAAAAACATGTCATTAGACCAAAATTAGGCAGCTAATTTATATATATTCTGAATCAGAAAATCTTTGCGAATTTTTTGATATATATCTCGACCGGTAATTCCACACCCCATAGAAGTACTTTCCTTGTGAAATATGCGAAGAAATTGAAAATATAACTTGAAAATCGTAGTAAAATATGTTTTGAATGACAGTCAGCTAATTTCAGCGACGTCTCAAACCACTACGACAACTCCACCGACAGCTTTGTCTTCAAACTTCAGTCCAAATGCAACTCCCATTGCAAATGCGAATCCACCGAATACCACCCGGTCTGCGCCGAGTTCAACGACGGGACACAAGTCGCTTTTTACTCACCATGCTATGCCGGATGCCCCGATCTGTACAGCCCATTGACTAAGGTGAGATTCGAAAAATTCTATTGGTTTAGATGAAAAGTTGGCATTTTTGAAGATTTTTGGGGGTAATATTGTCGAAATGGGGTTTTTAATGGCTAATAGTGTTGAATATAGCTTTCGAATACGTTGGATTTGGTTTAATTTCAATTTTTTGGATTAAGTCGACCTTATTTTAGGTGTACAATAACTGCTCCTGCGCCCCAACCAACACAAAAGGAGGAATCAGAAGGGTGAAAAATGGCTACTGCGAGTCGAAATGCAAAGGTCTCTTCGGATTTTTGTTCATTTTTGCGCCATTTTGTTTCTTCACCTTCGCCGTGGGAGTACCATTAATCACGGTGGTTTTGAGAACCGTGGATTACGCCGAAAGGGCGTTTGCACTGGGAATTCAATGGATTTTAGTTCGAATTATCGGCACCATCCCGGCACCCGTGCTGTTTGGCTGGCTGTTTGACGTGTCCTGCATCAGACAACACTTTGACCCCTGCTCCGGAGCACATGGAAGCTGCATGTTGTACCAGAACAAGTTGCTTGCCGATCTGTTTTTGGCCTTCAGTGTGGCGGGACAAGTAAGCATACGAGGTGTTTGGAACGTGAAATTGATGTTTTTTCACAGTGCGGATTTGTAGTTGAAAAAAGCTTAGGGTTTTGCACAGTGCGGATTTGTAGTTGGAAAAAGCCTATGGTTTTGCACAGTGCAAAAATTTAGTTGAAAAAAGCTATGGTTTTTGCACAGTATGTATTTTTAGTTGAAAAAAGCCTATGATTTTGCGCAGAGCGAAACTTTAGTTGAAAAAAGCTTACGAATTTGCACAGTGCAAAAATTTAGTTGAAAAAAGCCTACGGTTTTGCACAGTGCAAAAATTTAGTTGAAATTGGTCTAAATTTTTGTGCTGTGCGGTTTTTTAGTTGACACTTGCCTGGAATTGTGCAGTGTGTGACTATCAAAAAAAATTTTATTTTATTTTATTTTTTTTTATTTTTGAAATTTGAGTTGAAACTTTAATTTTTCGCCTAATCCATCAAAAATTCCATTTTTCAGCTAATCGCGATTGTCTGCCTGATCTGCGTCCTAATGTTCTTCGCCCATGCCCTCAAAGACGACCCGCTCCCAACGTTGGCCGTGGCCGAACCAGTGGATGAAGAGGAAACTGATGCCACCGAAAAGGAAACTCATTCGATTTATCACGCGCGGAACGGGAAACCCAACGAAATCGAGCCCATGCTGCCGAAAAAAGTGGAGGATCCAGTTGTTGTGGCCTAACCTGAGTATTATAATTTTTGAATTTCGCCATCAAAATCCGTTTGTATCAAAAAAACCCTCGTGGGGAAGTCATATACAGTGAGAAAAACTCCGTTTTGAAAAGCGCACCAGCTCTTTTTGTGAGGGCCCTTCAAAACGGAGTTTTTTCATTTGAAAAAGGAGGTATTTTGCCACATTTTTTGATACTTCCCGGATCCAAAATGGTACCTTTTTTGCCACTGGATCAGGTCCGTCACTGTACCAGATCTTTTGATTGTTATCACTGTTTGTTCCCTCTCCATTTACTTATCAGCTTTAATGCCCGCCTCTACTATAATATACACCCATTTCATAAATCATTTTTTTTGTTTGTTTGTTCGCCCCGTATCTCGCTCATATTTTCCCTTGGGTCCCATTTGAAACCATCTCCCCCGGTTATTATTATTATATATACTTGTTGTTGGCTGTTTGAATCTTCAAACTCTTTTTGGTGTGCTAATTTTTTGAAAAAAAGCAATGTTTTTTTTTAGTTTTTTGTGCCGTCCAACCCACAATAAACATAATATAATAAGTTGCAACGACGTTTTTTGCTTTTCTCTTTGGCTTTTTAACCCGCGTTTTGCAGAAAATATCGAGATTTTGAACATAGAAAACCCAAAAAAAAGAAAGTCTTTTTTTTGGATTTTTGATCTTAAAATCTGGATATTTTCTGCAAAAACACGAGTTAAAAGCCAATCATGTCCTGTGACCATTTCTTTTCCTCATAAAACTCATAAAAATTATGTTATTCATGTAAAAAATGGTGCAAAATAAGCCATTTTTCCCAAAAATTTAACACCAAGCTGTTATTTATTTCTTATCACAATCACAAGATAGATAATAAATTAGTAAATACGAAAGAAAAAACGCCTTCTCTTAGCTGTCTTTTAAGCAAATTGGCATTGATATTAAAACAATCATATACACGGGGAACAGAAACAGGGAGACCCGGGCGGTATATGACAATTACACAGCCTGCACCGACCAGTTTTAGCACCAACATGAGCCTTCGTCGGTTACGATTTGTCGCGGTTTTATGGGGCCAATATCAACAACTTGACGGGCGTCGGCCGGCCGGTCGTTGTCGACGCCCGGCAAGGCGTTCGCGATCCGCCGGAACAGCTGTTTTACGTTGTAACCGGCTTTACTCGACGTCTCGATGAACATTACGTTGAGTTCGTTGGCTTTTCGTTCGCCTTCCTCCGTTGAAACCTGCCTTAAACCGAAGAAAATTGAAATTTTGATGTTTTCAGGTCAAAATCAAATAAAGAACTGGTGAAACATGCATACTCTAGGTATTTCATAGCATAATCTTCCTAACTAGATTAGATTTCGTTACTTTAGAAGGTAATTTTTATGTTTCTCACATTATTTTAGGTACTCATCATGACCAATATATAAATATGATCGCAATGGCATAAATGTTCTTATAAAGCAAGAAAAAACCTTCCTTTATCCTCTAAAACCTATTCTAGATCAATTTCTACCCTATTTCTTCCAAAAATTTTATTTTCTTTCAGATCTCTCATGCATAATATAACATCGCCCCTGTTGCATAAGTCGTCATTAAATTGATATAAAAAGCCAGTAGATGTCCTATCGAGTAAATCTAAGCCATATCGCATGATGTGTTCAACGTATTTTACCAACAAACTCCCTTATTAGTTATTGATACCTCATGTATAATATAAATTTTGGCTTAAACATTTCTCATGAATATTCAAAGTGATTCACAACCTCGCAAGGACCTAAACCCAAAACAAACAAAAGAAAATGAATCACCTTTTATCGGAAAGATCCGTCTTGTTGCCCACCAACATTATGATAACGTCTGAGCCCCGCTCTGTCCTCACATCGTCAATCCATTTGGAAGTTTGATGGAAAGAATTTGCGTCTAAAAAGGCATTATCATTCCAAGTTTTAGACAAAAAGACAAAAGATGAATCGCGAAATAAGTAAAGTACACATACTTGTGATGTCATAGACAACGACAGCAACCGTTGAGTCGCGAATGTACGAAGGTATCAGTGATCTGAACCGCTCTTGACCTGCAGTATCCCAGAGTTGAAGTCGGACCTAAATTTCGGAACAAATCAATTAGAAATGAGACACTTACCGTTCGATCTTCCAGATACATGGTCTTACTGAGGAAATCGATCCCAATCGTTGCTTGATATGTGTTATCAAAGCTGTCATACATGAACCGTGTAATCAGGGAGGTTTTACCAACTAAAAATTAACAATTTTACTAAAAAATTTGACTTTTGACAAAGAAACTTTGACAAATTTAGATTACACGTGACGTGTTTGAAAAAAGTAGATGTAAAACTAATTAGACGACGAAATTGCTGGATAAAACAATTTGTATCTTCATTATTGTGACCTCTACTTTATTTCGAATCAAAATTTTTGCCAAAATTTTTACATCAAAATAAAAAAAAACGCCAATTTCGCTAATTCAACATCAAAACCACAAGAACGGCCATGGTTGATTAGAATAGGATCCTAAACAGATGGAAAAAAACAATAAAAAGCAAGAATCTTACCACTTTGTTCTCCCAGAAACACCAGCTTGAACTTTTTCATCGGATTTGCGAAGTCCGACGACATTTTTGATCAACAACAATATAACAACTGAAAGAAAGGGAATGAAATTAAAATCTCCACTCACTCAACGACAATTAGAACTATTTATGCATGCAATTTTGATATCGGAGGTGTTCTGAAAAAAGAAAATTTTTCCGAAAAAACGTTGAAATGCGTGTTGGAAATGGAAATTTACGGTATTTTGGCCTGATCGCGCAGGCAAATCGTGGTGGGACCCGAATTAGTGTTTCTGTAATGGGCAGCGGTACTGTAATTGAAGTTTACTAGGCAGTGTGGCTTCATTAGACATCGAACTGCGAACTTTGAGAAACCAAAAACAACTTTTTTCCACTATATTGTTTTAGACACATGCGTTTCGGAAGAAAGTTGATTCCAAAAAAACGATTATAAAATAAAGTGGAAATTAATGTTCAGTAGCAGTACCATGAAGCCAGTTATACAAAAAAAGCAGAATCTTGACTCAGTTAGTTGATTTATTAGAATATCTATTCATTTTTTTTCAAAATGACTATTAAACTGATCTAAAACAATATTTCATGTTGAAAATTGCTGTCTACACCACCAGAATTTTGAGTATATCTGTCCAAAAGCTTAATTAATCTATTCCACAACCATTTTTGGTTGATACTCCGCTAATTTTCCTATACTGAACCTTTTTTTCGACAATACCCGACTACCCATTCGAATCAAGTCCGGGTCCCGCCACGATCAAGTACCGTTTCCCGGCTTGGAAAATATTTCTTCGGCTTTTTCTTTTTCTCGCTGTTTTCCCGGATTTTCGTCGAATTTCAATGGAAAATCCGCTAGAAGCGTCGTTTTTTGATGGTAGATTACGCCTTTTGAACGACAAATGTTTGTCCTTGCAAAAGGATGTGCTTGTGGTACCGTGCTATCCGGATATTTTGAGTGGTAAGTTGATTTTTTTGCTCTTTTTGGTTTTTAGATTCTTGTGCGGTATTTTATCATTTTGAGGGGTTTTGATACAATTTTTCGTCCATTTTGTTTACCCGTGAGCTCCCGAGTCTCATGCGGTATATATTTGGTGATATTCCATCGGAAAATACCGAAATTTAGGCTAGAAAGGTTGGACAGGTCTTGTAATTTGATTGATGCCAAATCTGCTTGCTGTTTGTTGCATTTTTACTTTATTTTGACTGATCTTGTTATCCACGGGGTTACTGAAAAGTTAGGCCTAAAATGCTCTTTATTTACCTCAATTTTTTTTATTTCCAGGAGGTGAGCTGTACAAAGAAGTGATGGAAAATGTTGGGGAATCCCTCAAGGAGACGATTGCGCCCTTCTCCATCTACGATCCAGGAAGTTGTAAACTGACATTCAGCGGGAATCTAAAGCAATTCAAAAGTGAGTAGAAACTTCCCCATTTTTACCTCTTTCCTTAGGATTGGCTCTGTGCATCCTCCCCGAGATGTTCTCCGAAGAAGGATTGAGCTTTCTGGATCGATTGAAGGTGGCGATTTCCATTGCTGATGCGTTGGACTTGTCGACGGAAATGTCCGCTGTCTCCATCGTGTTTAGTCATTGGAATATCGCTTCTGTGGAACAAGCGGCTGAGATCTTGCTTTTGTGTATTGCCAAGTGGCTGAGGACCTCGATATATGCTGATAAGGTGAGAATTTTGACATGGATGATATAAAAAGTGTCGTGTTTTGAACTAAATTTAATTTCTTCTGGCTGGAAACGATGATAGATGATGTAGCTTATTTTTAGATTAAAGAAATTGTCATTGCATTGGAAGATGAACACATATTTGACATTTACTTCAACTTGGCACAACTCATCGAGGGAGATCCATCGTTGGTATTAGATGTTCTCCAGACCATGCCAGAGGACGAGCAGTACGAGGAGAACCACGAACGAGAGATCACGGATCATTATCCACTTGATTTGACAGACGCTCCACATTTGAATATGCATCAAGTACAAGTCAAACACGAGCGACGTCAACCGACCACTCCATTCCTCTTCTACTCTCGGAATCTCAGTTCGAGTATCTTGTCGATTGAACAGACGAATGGAAGCCTCCGGCAGTATCGACTTTCCACCACAATTGGAGAAAAGAACACTCATTACTTCAGATGCTCAAGATGCGATCATTTGAACAAATCAAGACCGGATCTCGGAGTATTCAGGCCAAAAATTACAATCAAAGATGGGGATATTGCCTCTGATCGATTCCCAACACACCATCCATTATGTGAAGAGGTGACAAAGACTGTCTTTGTTGTACAACAACTGGATCGTATATGGAAAACTGTCGCTCCGTATGAAAGTTCGGAGCTCAGAGAGGCATATTCGACTCTGCGACAGATAGCCTTGACCGATTCTGAGAATTTGTATCGGGAAATGGACACACCTGCTGGCAGGTTTCCGGAGTGGGAAGTCCTCAAGGCCCAAGCGCAGAAATGTAAGATTTTACAGTCTCGATGTTATGTTTTTAGTGCATTCTCAATTCTCCCTACGCCTGATCAAATGTACCGCCGACGATCCGGCCTCCGAATTGAACTCAACCCTGAGCGCCATCAGAGCTGTGGAAGGTGAACTTGATGGAGACAAACGACCGGGAAATGTGGCCTGGCTCTCCGAAACGAATGAAGAAGAACCTCAACCAATTGTGAAGCTTGAAGATGATGAAGAATCACCTCACTCGTCGGCTAGACCGGCTCATCGAAGAAAAGCGCCATCAAAATATCGACAAGTGTATGTTTTTGGTTGTTTTCGGTTGGTTTTTAGGGCTTAGGTGTAAAGGGAACCAAAGGTTCTAATGTTTTCTTTCCAGAATCGACCCCAACGCTCAATACAAGTTCAGGATTGTCCGTCCTCGGGGTGAAAATGTATCTCCGACCTCTTATCAATCTCTTGCCAAGCGATCTCGACCTCTTTGAGACCTTCAGGGTCTTTGTACATACTGTTAATAAAACCATTAATTATTTGCAGCCATTTACTAGAAAACTTTTCACTGTTTTACGGGTTATTATGCCCGGCCACTGTGGTTATCAATGTTTTTTTGTGTTGTGTTCGCTATATTTTCGTGGTTTTCGCGGATTTTTATTTAGATTTTTTTCGATTTGGACCTTATTAACACAGTTTTTTTAGGTTAGAAAATGGTCGCCATCAACAACGCCTCCGCAGCCATCCAGTGGAACATCATCCGCCGCCACTCGGCCAACCTCCACAAGCGCCGCGGAATCCGCACGCCGTTCAGCACTGACCGTTTCAACTTGACCGGCAAGTACACCACTCGCTCGTCGGGCTTGGGATCGGACGCCGCCGTCTCCGTCAGACTCACCGAGGACAACAAAGGCATCGTTGTGGAGACCAAGAAGAAGAGCCAGGGCGCCCAACACCGCCCCGCCACCTCAACCGTCTCCGTCACCCACAAGGCCGGCGGACCCAAGGCCGTTCTGAAGGCTGTCCGCAACCACGTCAAGGGATACGAACCAGCTCTGGCTCACAAGGCCCAGAAACGCGCCAGCCAGCTGCTCCGCTCGGTCCAAACCCGCAAAACCAAGAAGTCCCAGAAGACCGCCGCCTCGGCCTAAGAAGGATAAGACGGTTCTGTTCATTTGATTTGTTTTTTGTTGGTTCAGTAAATCTATAATTGTTTGATCAGTTGGACAGTTGATTATAGTGTACTAGGCTCCCTTACCTTTTAATTTTTTTTTGTTTTTTGAGAATGAGTGATATCTAGGTGTTCGTAGAGACTCCAAAGGTTTAGAAAGTAATTGTTTATTCTGTAATTTCTTTTGCAAATGGCTTTCTTGACTTGTGTTTTTTATAAAAAAAGACCAATCTACAGGCACTGAGAACAGTAGGAAATCAAGATGTGTTTTATTTACTAAACGCTTTCAAAGATCGTTTTTGTTTTGGGACAGATATTAGACTTGATTTTTGATTAATAGCGGACTTGAAAAAAAATGTGTTTTCGATGAAGAAACATGGCTTTAGATGGGTAAAGGTTGAGAAAATCGAAGGATAAAGCTGGCTTTATAGAAGGAACTGGTTAGAATTTGAACGAAACATCAATGTAAAGACAATTATCATCAGTAAAAATGTTTTATATATTGAATATGGCGATAATTCCCCATTGAGGGTCGACTTTGCCATGTACAACATAAAAGTATGGCTGGGACAACCGCGAAACCATGACAAACTAATTGAAAACAGTATTATAACGAAGAATGGGGAAGATTATTTGATTTTCAACATCGACAATTCGAGTGTAAGGCCTTCATATTACACTTTTACAAAGATCTTTGAAATTGCACAGTGCAGTTTAAAAATTTTTGTAAGGTGCAAAAACGAGCGCCTTGGCCACTGTTTAATAAGGGCTGACTCTGTGCTTTTCTCGCTCCTTCCGGTAGGTCAGCGAGTTCGAAGCGGCCGCCACGGTTTGGGCCTGGAATTGCGCGGCCAGCTCGGCTGCCGTCGGCTGCGCTTGCTGCTGTTGTTGTTGCTGCGCCAGTAGCGCCGCGTAGTTCAGGTAGGCCTGGTTGGCTTGAGGAAGCGCGGCGAGTTGGGCTTGAGGCTGTTGAGCCGACACCATCTGGAAAATGAAGGTTTATTATATTGTACTAGGGGTGGGTGGAAGAAAATTGGTGATTTTTTGAAAAGTAGGTGGATGATAAATAAAATGTTGTGTTCCTAGGCTGTATTGAGGCCTATAGCGTCGAAATAAATGTATTTTGGCGGAGAAAGAATCTGGATTTACCCATTATATTACTTTAGATCTAGCTGAATATAAGTAGTCATAACTTTGAAATGGTCGCTAACATAGTACACACAACTATCTAGAAGTCTTTATTAGGGCATAGGTTGTCTAAAACCTCATTTTGCTTGGTTTTCCATCACAAATTTGTGGATGATATTACTTTAGTCATCAATTTCAAAAAATTGATCGTAATTTTTTTGCTCATCAAAAATACATCCATTTTAGCATTCAAGTAGATTATCTACACTCCAACTCACAAACCATACCTGATGCGCAGTCAGTTGTTGCATCTGCGCTTGCGCAATCGCCGCCAACATTTGTTGGTTGAGTTGCCCGGCCAACGGATTGATCATCTGACCGGTAGCGGCGGCGGTGGTTGCAACTGGCGAATAAAGTTGTTGAACACTGAAAATTCAATACGATTATACAGTAGCCCAAGAAAAGGAATGTTAATTTTGAGGAAAATTTTTGAAAATCCCCCAAAGGCGGAAAATTGGTGGTTTTTAGTGTAAAAAGGAGAGAAACGGATGAAAATTGGGAGTAGCTGGTCATTTTTATTAGTTTATAAGAAGCTAGGCACTAAAAGCGACACAAAAATTGAGCAAATTTCCAAGAAATCTTGATTTTTTCAAGATTTTTGCTTCAAAATCCCCAAAAACGCTCAAAAAACCGCGAAATTCCTGTTAATACCAATGCCACTTCAAATAAACCAGTGTGAAACGCCCTTCAGTGGTCTTTTGCCCTCACTCATTCCGCACTGTGCACATCAAAAGTACGCCAAACAAGGGTCCTAATTTCGCTGAAATTGGATTATACGGCCCTCGAGTTTGTGGTCTCCGATTTCAAAGGCCGACATTGACGCAAAAAATTTGTTATTACCGGATGTTTTCGCCGCCGCTAAAAATACCGGTTGTCAGAAAACGGGTCCGGTTTGCCTTTTTTTTCGACGTAAGCAAGTTACTGTTGTTTGAAGTGGGGAGAAGTTTCGGATTTGGGGTTTTTTAAAGTCAGAGGGGTAAAACAAGAACCTTATGATCAAATTAGTACCATATACAGTGGGGGACCTGATCCAGTGGCAAAAAACGTAGCTTTTTGCATCCGGGAAGTATCAAAAATGTGACAAAATGCTTCCCTCTCCAAGTGAAAAAAGTTTTGAAGGCGCGCTTTTGAAATCGGAGTTTTTTTCACTTGTAGAGGAGGTATTTTGCCACATTTTTGATACTTCCTGGATGCAAAATGGTACGTTTTTTGCCACTGGATCAGGTCCACCACTGTAGCACTATTCCAATCCAGTTTCAGTCAAATTTCCGCGATTTTAGGCTAAATCAAGTTTTCGTGGTGGGACCCAAAATTAGGTCTAAGCCTCTCAAAACCAAGAATAAAGTCTGTATTAGACTTTACAAGGTATATTTAGACTATGCAGAGTATTCTAGGCCCGTTATTATCGTTTCGGTTCCATTAATTACCATATCAGTTACCGTAATCTTCAAAAAAAAAACACCGTAACCCGGCAACCACTTTCGCAAACACCTCAGAACCACTAAGAAAAGCGCAGTTAAAAAATCAGGGAGTCCAAAAAGAAAAATAAAAAAAAACTCCAAAATGGCACACTCACCCCAAACGTCCTTGAAGCAGCTGGAGTTGTTGCTGAAGTTGCAGTTGTGGTGCAAGTGCGGTGGTAAAGGCTGTAACATGAGCAAAACAGTAAAAAGGAAAACCAATCAAGTTACATTGTCAGAGAAATCGGTTGACTAATCTCATTTCGAAAATTTGTTGGGTTACTGTAAATTTAACGTTCAAAATGGGAGTTTATGGACTCGAAAAATGTTTAATGGTTATTATTCGGTACTAGTCGTAGCCTTAGGGCCTATTTCGATAATTTTTCCGGTTCTCAGATTTTCGTGACAGGACCTTTTGGGTCCCACCACGAAAACCTGAAACTCCTCGGAAACAGCTCTAAATGTTCTGTTGTGGATTTGTAGCTCACATAAAGTTCAGCACGGCATGTTTACAGCATAGAAAAGGGCCATGACGTCAATATTCTAATGAACTTTGGCTCGGGGGTGCATTTCAAAAAAGAGATTAAAAATAACTCAAAGCAGACCCAAAAAAACTTGGAAACCATGGAATTCACAACTATGACACACGTCAAGGAAAAGCCTACATCATTCCGCGCTCATTCGCTTCGCTTTCGCCTAGTATATTATACTTTTACACTACAAAGTTACAGTAATCTCTCCAGACTCAAACACGACCCGAAACTCAGGGATATAGGCCACATATATAGAAGGCGACGTATTTTACAAGCAATTATCAATGAATTTGCCGAAAGTTTTGGCTTTTTGGCATCAATTTGGGTCCTACCACGAAAACATGGAAAATCGAAAATTTATCTCAAAGCCGCCGAAAATAGCTAGAGTACATCCCTGAGCGTCTTATTAAGGCCGTACTAAAATTATTAAGATACTACAACACTACTTTTTTCGCTTCTTACCCGACAAATTCACATTATTCCTTGGTTTTGCTCCCAAAACGGCCAAGTTCACGTTGGCCTTGCGCCCGTCGATGATGGGATTGGGGTCGCGGCAAGCCTTTTCGGCGTCCGTCTTCTCCTTCATCGTTACGAACCCATAGCCTCGGGATTTTTGGGTCTGTCGGTCCGTTATGACGACCGCTTCCTCAATCTCCCCAAATTGCTTGAAATAATCGTGCAGGGTCTGGTCGGTGGTGTGATAGGGAAGGCCACCGACGAAGATCTTGGTGAAAGTCGTGTCTCGAGAACCGGTGGGAGTGGTGGAAGCGCTTGAGTCCGCAGCCTGAAAGAAAAATTGGGGAATTAGTTGGAGTCATGTGTAATATACGGATTTTTAGGTGCCTTAATACGCTTAAAAAGTGGAAAGCAAGTGACAAACTGGCCTACAGACGGCTATAAATGCGTCTGTGATAAAAATTTGTACGAATTTTGATAGTCACTATGACCCGCTCTGGGTCCCACCACGAAAATTTGAATTTTCTTAAAATTACTCGGGAAAGGTAGCAAATTGTTCTATGCGAACTTGAGATTCAAATTATGACTTTGCACCGTGTTTAAACGCTTCAAAAAACTTACTTGGCCACCATTTGAATTGGTGGAGATGGTAACGGCCGCCGACGTTTGCGGCACCAAATTCGCGGCCATTGTGGCCTGCAAAAGCGGGTCCGCGAAGGCGTTGGGAGCCAATTGCCCATAAAGCGCAGCGGGCAACATCCTTTTTATTCAATTTCCGGGGGATGCGAACAAAACCTGTCCAATTTTAGGTAATACCCGACCAAAATTCACCAAATTTCACGGGCTTCTCGCTGGGATCTGAAATGAGTTTGCGTGTAACGAAACGAATACTAGAGGAAGCAGTTGTTGGGGGTGCGAAATCACAACTGCGGTGCGTTTCAGTCACCAAAACATTCGCATTTCGCACGAAATTCAACCGAAAACAGGGAGATTAGGAGTTTCGGCGGGGGAAATCGCCAAATTGGTCGGGGAAATCAGTGAAATTCAGGGTGATTCTGAATTTTATTGATTTCCCAATCAATATGGAGGATTTCCCCGGCCGGAATTAGTTGAGGAACACGGCAAATATTCAGTTTACACAGGAAAATATTACACGTACCGACTGAAATGAAGATGGAGAAGAAAATCGCGGAAAAATTAGAAAAATATTTGAGGACGACAGAGTTTTTAGGAGAATTGGAGGGTATGGGATGTGAGGAGACTGTGTAGGAATAGGTAGATGGGATGTTTAGCGGTTTTGATATAATTTTAGGGGCTTATTTCAGATATTGTTTTAGGTAAAAAAAAGTAAATTTTTGTGGAAACACGATGAAATCTGGGCAAAAATAGTTAGCTTGTGGCATATTCAGACTGTCTAGTGACTGTCAAAACTTTTTTGTCCCAAAAGATTACTGTAATTTCCGATTTTTCTCCATTTTTTCCGAAATGGCTCAAAAATCGGTCAAAGTGAAAGAAAAATTTGTTTAAAATTTAATGAACCCCCCTAGTAAACAGAGCTTATTTCGCGTACAACAACTGCTCAGGGCATTCGCCGTACATCCCCCCTCCCCAACACTTGTAAACCATTATGAAATTTGAGACAAAATCTCGGGGAAGGCCTCTCATGTGATAAGTCGAATCAAGAAAGAGTGAGGATTTTTTGATTGGATTCCCGTCCGCTCCCCACGCTTATGCCACGATTTATGGCCTAGCCACTTCATCTTCCCCCATTCGTGGGGCACGTCGCCACCCAATTCTTTGATGGATCCGCATCCATCAAAGAATTGGGGGCCAAATCTTGAGGCGATGTGGGGATTTTGGGCCCCAAAAAATTTCGGGGACAGAAAAAGTAACGAAATTGTTGGGAAAAGTGAAAACCGAGAGCAGGGCCAGATCCCCCCGCCCGATCGAGGGCTCTCGAGATCAGGCCGCCGATCCGACAGCAGCGCTGTCTGCTCCGTCTGGCCGCTTAAACTTTGGGGGCGAAAGCCGAGGCGCTGTGATTGTTTGCGCCGCCACAACGCGCTCCCTCCAACTTCTGCGCTTAGATATTGCGGGTGGAGTGGACGTTGAGGAGTGGCGGATGATGTGAGACGACAGAAATTTGCATATTCTTACTGTAACACAGAGATTTTTCGAATCTCCCAAAACTTGATTTTTGGAGAAAAATGGGTGGGAATAGTAAAAGGGAGAATAGAAATCAATAAAAATTAGTTCAAAAATACTGATTACATCATGTACTAGCGCTGTAGGCATAAAAAATCTCAAAAATTATATTATACATGATGTCCCAAAGAAAAAAATTTGAGATTTTCCGAAGTCCAATAAACCCACTCTCCTTTCCATAGCTTAGACGCGGCGTATTTTACACAATCCACTAGAAAATCCCATAAAAACCTTTATTTTCCCATAATTTTTCCCCCAAATCCCCCATTTCCCACAAAAAATCATATGAGATCCCATCGAAAACTTGGCCAAATCCCCACCCTGAATATTCGGCTAGACCTCTCAACTCACTTGATCAGTCGAAAGCCCGGGTTTTTTCCGCGTTTCCCTCATCATTTGGCCAAATATCCGCTGAAAAGCGAGAGAGAACGCTGAACGAGGAGAGTGGGTAGAGAAAAGCGGGGTTTTGAGATTGCGAGAGGAGCAGGAGGATCACAGAGGGAAGATTTGTGGGCTAAAGCCACCCTCAATGTGTTTGAAAAGCTGTTTGGACAGGGGTACTTGGGGAAAAGTGAAAAATTGAGCGCATAATCGACAAAAGTCATCTAAAATAAGGTGAAAAAATTGGGTTTAAGGTAAAATACGCCTTTTTAGAGTAGTAAAAAATTACTGCTGATCTCCTAAATTAAGTTTGGAGCAGAGCAAAGGTAGTAGGAACAACAAAAAGTCGAAAAAATCAAAGCCTGAAACCAGATATCCCCGATTATTTGCCTAGCCATCGAGAATTCAGCCGTTTGGCGGCTTGGAAATGACCGGTAATTACACTAGCTGGCCGGATAATATTACGGGAAATAAAATTCGTGTAGTTGTCTGGGATAAAAGCGAGATTTGTTCCGGTTTTATCGCGAAAAAATTGGGAATTTTGAGGAAATTTCGATGATAATACAGTAGCTTACTGTAGTGGTTAAAATATTTTTTTGGGAATTGTAAAATACGGGATGAAGGTTCAAAAAAATTTTTAAAATTTTACAAAAAACGATAATTTTCAAAATGAAAAACCAAAAAATTCCGAACAAAATCGACTCGATTTGATGTCGTAAGGCCCTCGAAAGCTCACAGAAATTGAAAAACTGTTATTTTGAACCCCAGTTTTTCCCTCGAAACCCCAAAATCGAAGCCAATAACCCCGCAATTCTCGTCCCTCTCTATGACTACGCCGAAAGTCATGGATATCACGACGGAAGAGGCGGTTGGAAACGGAAAATTTTGCAGATCTTTGACAAATTTTAGTTAGATAACAGAATGGATCTCACTAAACAATAGGAGCGTTATGAAAGCGCGGTTAAAATGAGGAAACATAGGTTTCCGCAGACAAATGAGTGGTCTTGGCGCGAAGGTGCCTCCGAATGGAGAGGAAAATTTGCAAACAATATGCTGTTCGGCTTTAGAAACTGAGCCTGCATACGTGACACGAATTTTTGAGGGTCAAGCGAAGCTTTGACCGCTCAGGGAAATTAATGAGTAGAGGGAGAATTTAAATTTTGGTCTCGCAGCGAAAACTTGAGACGCATGTTAATTTTTTTGGCTTATAGAGCGTTTACGAGAATCCTTGGACATGTGTAAAAGTGATTTTGAAAAATTTTTGGTTTCGAAAATTGATAAATGGGTCTCACCACGAAAACTTGATTAGTCCTAAAATCGCAAGAAAAGAGGGTAAAATTAAAATACAATTATAGTAGATGAGTTGTTGTTAATTCTAATTGTAAAATACGTTCTTTTCGCAGAAATCGAAAAAAATTTTTAATATTTTTTTTCAAAAAAAATTTTTCGCTCAAAAAACTAAAAACCCCTTTGGCAATAGACCTAAAAACCTTTGCAAATGTCAGTTAGGGTGGTAGAGAAATTTTTAGTAACAATATTTTAACTACTTCCATAAGTTAGACCGGAAAACAGTAATAAACACAATAAAACGTTCCGCTATTTGCCCATTTATTGGTGAAAACGATACGGAAGAGTTATGTAAACATTACGAATTACCCCCACACTCTGCCACTCGATAACAAAACTATGACCTGGAAAAAATTTCGTGGGGAAAAATAAGTTTTTGCACAGTGCAAAGTTGTAGTTGAAAAAAGCCTAGGGTTTTGCACTGTGCGAAATTTTAGTGGAAAAAAGCCTAGAGTTTTGCACAGTGCGAAATTTTAGGGGCAAAAGGCCTAGGGTTTTGCACTGTGCGAAATTTTAGGGGCAAAAAGCCTAGGGTTTTGCACTGTGCGAAATTTTAGTTGAAAAAAGCCTGAACTTTTGCACTGTGCGCCTTTTGATATCAAGGTGAATATCCCCGCCGGACTGAAAACAATTGAAGTCTCATCCCTCGCGGCCAGAACCGAGTCAAAGGTTTCAGGTTTCGGCCTCGCAAACCCCGCATTTCACAGCATTTTTCCGCGGGCCCCAGCGGAAAAGTGAATAGCAATTTCGGCCTAACGACCGTTTTAAAGCCGGTTTTTCGGCCGTTTTAAGCGTTAGGTGAATATCCAGATGCGCTAAGACAAGAAAAAGGCGAGGAAAAGCAGAGATTCGGCAATAATAGAGGGGCTGCGGGAAAATATGGTTATGGAAACGATGATTTTAGGGTAAACCCGTGGAGTGGAGGTAAAATAGGGTAAAAATGACAGGTTTTGAATATTTAATTCTTCCTAAAAAATAGTAAAAAACTTCTAGTATCTTGAAGTGGCAACTGATCACCCGGAGAAACGATTTTCGATCTAAAATTCCGAGGTTTTAACAACTATGTCAAGTGTAACATATAAATCAAAAAAGCGCTAAAATCGGCAAAATTGATGACATATCTACAGAATAGGGCCTACAAAACTTATTAAAGCCGATAAATTTTTCACGCGGGCAGAGGGAACCCTGTAAATTGGGATTTATCCCTACAGCTATCAAGTACAATATAAGGTGTGAAAAAGTCTCAAAAATCCAAACACAATCAAAATCCAACGCTCTAGAGTAATTACTGCGGGTTTACACTCCTCCAACAGTAACTGACAACACTAGAATTGGAGGGCTGACCTTGTTTTAGACCATTAGATTGACGTATCAAGAGTAGTATAATTTGGATGATAAAAGGTTTGAATATTTTTAAAATGGAAAAAAAGTATCCAAAATGATGTTCTGAGTCGCTGTGATATCAAATACGGAGTTCGTAGGTGAGACAATGGGGTCTAATTAGGATTTGCGTTATCTATCAGTTTGTCGGGAAAATAATGAGCACTCTGTCGCATTGCAGAAAATGGATGGTGTCGCTGAAAAGTCAACTTTATTTTCAAATCAGCGACACGATCGGCGCAGCGACATCGCGCTCATTATTTTCCCGACAGACTGATAGATAGGTCAATCCCGGTTAGACCCCCTTTTCTCACCTGTGAACTCCGTATTTGGCATCATAGCCACTTAGAACAGCATTTTGGATACTTTCTTTTCTATTTAAAAAAATATTCAGACCTTTTATCATCCAAATTATATTACTCTTGATACAAGAATCTAATGGTCTA